GCTGGCAATAAAAAATATCGGATTACATTTTCACCTAGACAACATTCCCGTAGTGTGGTGACGATAAAACTTTCAAACGCTTCGTAGAAAGGTGAAAGTCCTGAACGTAATGACTCTAGAACTGGTATGTACAGCAGACGTCTACTCACCATGTTGAAACTGGGTAAACTGAACAAAACATTCTTGAAATTAAGGTTTATACGCTAACTTGCCAAATTGCTCTGGTTGCTTCCGAACGAAGTGTCGAGACCGTAGACAAGACCTTGAGACGCATCAACATGCCATTTAGCACGAATTTGTATCACATGCATTATGTGTGTACTTATTAACGATCGGCTCAGAGACGATGAATCAGAGTGCGGCTGAACGGCTGAGACGATGCCAGCTGCTGTCAAGGATCAGGCATATGACTACGCTAGTATTTACGCGGATTTTCTTACAGACTGCCGTCACGACGGATTACACTTATACTAAAGAAGAGACTTTCACGACAATAGAGCATTAAATCCTGCGACGGTTTCATTCAAATCAGGAAGACCAAGTTGGCAAAGTGCATTTTACGTGGAGAACAGACAGCTTTTTCGTAGATGAATCAGTCTTGATGCAGAGTTTAACGTTAAAGTTGTTCCGTTCATATCTGAGTTCGCTGAAATGCTAAAAAAATAGGCATCATTGGGTAAACAGAAGGGTAAGTCTTTATGTGAAATTTCTCAACATTTCCGCCTTTATCCAAATATTTCAGTAGGGAAGAATGAGCATACATGAGTCTGCAACATTGACAGAATTAGTTGAAACCCCTCTGCTACGCTGACAGCATGAAACGGGAGAATGATAGCATGATAGGTGTCGAAAAATTGCGTGTTAGAAGCCTGACAGCGTCATTGGCCATGTCACTATTCCATGCCACTCATAAATAAAATAGTACCTTGCACAGGAAGAGGAAATTTGAAAGTGTACAAAAAGCACGTAGAAGCAAACCTAGCCTTTAGAAATATGCCATCCCGAAAGGGTAGCATCAAAAGAGGTTGGAAAGAATGATGCAGCAAATGCTTAATGATTATAAATTCAAATGACCATAACTTTACCTGACTACTGGCTTTTAAAGATAAAAGAATAGAAAAAAATTCAGAAGAATTTCTGAAGCTCGCTAAGAAAAGACAAAAATAAACACAAAATATGAAAAATGAATAAAAATGGTTCGCCCTGTAACCAACAAGACAATGTAGTGAGCCCACTTCAGGAACTGGTTAATTTGACGCACCTTTGAAGAACTCTTGGCGTCAGATAAATGTCAGCATTTACTGTTGAACGGAAGTTTTCTTTCCTTCGACATGGTGTTAATTCACTCCTACATTCAAAATTAGAAGCAAGCACTTCTAATGCCATGGTTAAGAATACTAACGACAAAGTGCAAATTCTTTATTTACACGGAAACGACGTTTTGACAGAAACTGGTATCGGTCACTATTGAATGACAGGTAATAAAACGCGTTTTTCTGGGTCGAGTATGTATTTAACCGAACTGCCGAAAGGTTTCGCCGCTTGTTAATGACTTTAGAATTAATTAGAATTTTACTTAATGGCCTCATTTGTAGTCAAACGATGCTTCAGTTGGATCCAAGACAAACTGACTTACGCAGTTGCATATTTTTCTTTTGTTTATTCCCTGATGATAAGTAGTACCATTTCGGTTGAAAGGTCAGATTTGTATAAGAACTTATTTTGTTTTGTGCTACCAACTGTGAAACAAGAAGACGTATTCGCTTATAGTCATCTATTGCAGAGTATCGACACAAGTTTGGCAAGCAATTTACCCATATATGAAGATCGTTCACTTTTATAACGTAAGATGAATCATCGGATTTAATCCCATAAGTATGTTTATTGGAATGGTTGCCGATGAGTTATTTAGATTACCTTAAGCACATCGCGACTTTTTCAAAACAAGTAGGACGTCAAAGATGGCAAAATAGTATGAAATTCGCCTAAAAGACTTCCTGGCATCAAGTCTAAATGCGCGATGAGGTGATCATAGCAAGTACCATTTTCAATTCTTTCCTTGCCTTAAAAAATTTCCTGACCTGAAAGATGCATAAAAATTTTCCTTAAACCGAATTTGAGCTTATAAACATAGTAAATAAAAAACATAATTTGATCAAACGGCACACGGCTTGAAGCATATCACGATTTTCTGGAATCATAGTATATTTCGCGACAATGGAAAAATACATAATGTAAGCAGATTTCCTAAAATTATGAGATACCGACTATTATGGTATCGTTGGCGAATCGTGTTAACATTCACGAACAAGTCTTCAGGGCCGTCGACCATCGACCCAGTCAGGGAGAAACAAATTCACCAACATTTTAAGGCACACAGTCGCGCTGTTTAATTGGCGACTGCTCTTCTGCTGCCGTTAAGCATATCGTTTTCCAGATAAAAATCCGTTCACAGTTTTCGGCGCATGATCGTTCAAGCGATGGGCGACATGACAGAAATCGCAGAATGCAGTTTCGCGTGTAAGTCAAGGAATTTTAGATACCCCAAATTAGGCAGATCCATAAAATTATACATGCTTGAGCGGTGCGACTGAGACATCAGACTTGCGGTATCGGAAATTTTTGCAATGAGTCACGAAGCACGACATTTGCACTGTTAAAAAAGCGGCTGGCGACAACATAATTTGAAATTAATGTGCATAGTAATTTTACTAAAGTTACACCAACTGAGGTAATTACAGCAGTTTGTTTGGATAACTCGATATATTTTCCGAAGCCACAATCATTTTTCAGTGTCGAAGAGTTAAAAAAGGAAACAGAGCATAAGAGGTATCAAATTACAAAAGCGTAAGAAATCAAGGTAGAAAGCAACGACTTTAGGCTGCTGAAAAACGAGCGAATCACAGTTCACCTTCATAATGGTTTTTATGAGTAGGGAGATCACAAACCGCCGGAGTCGCGAACGTGAATGCATACTGGCATCGTGAGGGCTCAGAGGAAGCAACAAGAGCGTTTTCAAGACCACATACAAGATCGACCTATTTAACGGAAATAAGTTACTAATTAACATACAATACTATGAATTTACTGTTGTCGACCTCTCAGGACCATTCCAGCATTGAGCACCATGTTCGTAGAGCATTTTGTAAAACCCGTCTTCGCCGATTGTAATCCATTTGCCCCATGACCTGAATGGGTAACAATTAAACAAAACAATCATCCGTTTAAATTCCTACCCAAGAGCCGTTTCCATTGACGTGTCCTTGCTGCGCTGAGTAGCTTTCTCAAACAGACAAAGCTTGTAAACATATTCAGAGAGAGCGATCTCGAAACACTGCTGGTATAGTGGTGCAAATTCATCATTAGGACCGAAGTTAATCTTCATGTACTCCTCGGCTTCCCTAATAAAATAATATTAGATTATAACAGTATATAAAAAACCGTACTTAAGATCAGCTTCCAACCTCCTGATTTTTGATTGAACATCTGAATGTTTCATTCGCGCTTCATTAGCTTCTACAAAGAATACACGTATCAAAAATATACACAGCGACAATATTAATGTACTTCGATATGTAAATGTTTAAAAGATAAATGCATCTTTGGGTTAGTAATACCTTACTGATAAAAAACCTGTCCCATGACCTAATTTACATACCATCCTTCGTTCCCATCTACAAACTATCCATCTAATCTACGTACCTCCATATCATAAAATGGCAGGCAGAGTGAACGCCCTTTCATTCTATGTCAGCAAGGAAGAAACAGAGAACGACTTCTCCCATGATCTCGGAATATTTTACTGATGTTTGGTTTATATAAGTTTACCTAGCAGAATCGCATTAAACCCAATAAGTAAACTGAACTTTACGGATTTTTTCTTGGCTGCTGAGAAATCTCTGTAGCCAAAAAATTGCAGCTAAAATGAATACCCTAATACCACGCTTGATTAACTAGGTGTAAATTGATTATTTCATCTTGACGCCTTACAACGCTTTGCGCAACGCCTGTTATGTTTATATAGCAGGTTCTGCTCGGAAATGGGCAACTGGCAGCAGTATGGCAGAGCTCCATGATTGTCAATTTATTCCAAAAGGGGAAAATATTCGAGCTTACATGATGAATTGAAACTACCTTGCACTGTTTGACCCTGGCATGCAGTACGGTAAAACCGCTGTAGGTTGCTGAATGAGAATTTAGAATCTTGGAACACCCCAGGTCTAGCGTCGATATATGCAGGTGTATTTTTTAAATTCAGATGATATATGTTGCAAGGGCATCAATAATTCCTTCCCCTGCGAGGATCGATAAAAATTTTTTCTTAACATATTTTGAGGGTTACAGCAAGTGTGAAGAAATAGATATCATTTCACTGCCTGTTCTAATTCCAGGCTTTCTTTTCTAAATTTTTGATTTTTCACTCTAAAAATAATGTCGATGTTTTGGGTCGAAACGTGTCGATGAAAAAAAGATTTTGCCCCGTCTTAGCAGACTGTTACCTTGAATCGTGAATCAAAAAATAACATGTTTTTTTAGGCTCCACTTCGTACCTTTCTAAGCCATTATATCAAAAACATACAGGCAGCGAATCGGTGGAATTTTGAGTCTAGTTCGAATAAATTAATAATGTTTGATTTACGGCCGGCAAAATGTCTAAGGGATAAAATTCTAAAGCAGGGCACCTTCTATGAGCCTTCGTGTTTCTTCGCTGTAAACGTGGTGCGGCTCAGTGATAGCTTCGGATTCTACCTTCGCGGGCGCATCAGGAGGAGCCATTTCATCAGACTCGGAACCCTCATCGTGATTTTCCTAATAAGTTAAAATAATTATATGTTAACAGGTAAAATACAAATGACAAAAGGATTACGAGGAGCACATTTCGAATTTTACGTCTGAAAAGTTTACTACAGAAACCCTTCATTCATACGATTTTACTGATCTTCTCCGAAAGGAATAATTGTAAAAATTGTAAACTCTCACAAAAGAGTAAACCAGCGGCTGCAAATGACAGTTGCTAGTGTCAGCGCTTGGTCCTGCGGTCGCTATATCGAATCTGTGTAACTCGACAGTGATCAGCTGTGTGAACTGCGCAATTCAGTACATCATTTTATATATCAGCGGGTAGTTATCTGTGAGTGAAGTACGATGCCGCTTCTCATTACAATTCCACTGCGATGACTTTGAGATGTCAGTACTTTAGCACGCAGGGTGCGTTCGCCGGTCTGAAATTATGTCACTGGCAGAAGATCACCTATACCAATGATTCGACTTCGCCTTTAATATTGCCTACCGATAGAAATCTCTATCTCTGTTGCTTTTACGACTAATTTCATCACGTTGCACATCAACAAAAATCAGTCTAAGCTTAATGCATACGCTTTGTCACAATACTCAATTTGTTTATGACTTTAAATCGGCATTTCCTCTGCGTTACTTTTACATAATTCTCCGGTGTCATTCACTGAATTCTACGAAACTGTTAACTAGAAACCGATGATAGCATCATTGGTCCGTTTCACAGAATTTTAATCTTTGAATGAATTGAACAACGATGAATTAAAAGAAAGCAAAAATTAATTATTTTCGTCACAGAAGAATTTTTATTACACAAAAATATTACATTACTGGGTTATTTAGTAGTTATGCGCTAACCCAGGAAAATAAATAATACTGTTATCATTATGATAACTATTCACAATACACTATTTTTTCATCCGTGTCCCGATATTTCTTCAACTTGACTGGCAGCTGATAACCGACAGCAAGTTGTTCATAGTATATTTCTGCCCTTTGTGCAACCGATCAATACCAACGGGTGTGACATTCCCAGTACGGTCAGAATTCGTTGATGGGTTGTCTCAGCAAGGTTATTCGAATAGTTTTCACCGTCGGTCACCCGACAATGTCGATTACATCTGATTGGTGAAAACAACGCCGAACGTCTTGTATTTCCTCAGCGATTCAAGCAACCGACGTAATTGTCTTCAGACCATTCAAGAAGAGGCTGAAATTTCTTGGAAAGTTTTCCGACAATCTGTCGATAGCTTGATGTGGTTCAGCAATAGGCACAAGCGTCAACGCAGTTATCACCCTTGCTTTTTAGGCCAAACCAGCACTTGCTTACAAGCTTCATGCAAATGCAGTTTCCCAAACGCTTCTTCATACTGTAACGAAGATAAACATACGAGAATGCGTTCTTCATTGCATCCATCGGTGCAATTTTGGTTCTGCAAGCAATCGAATCAAGATGAAGCTCTGGAATGGTTGCTTTTATCATTTGTAACAAAACCGGCTGTACGAGGCCTCATGTTGTACGTGACCTTGCAAAAACTCATATACAACAAGATGGACACCACCAAACCTTTTCGCCAGAACTGCATAAATTTGCTAAAACGGTGGAGGTGCAGGTCGAAATGTTCTTCACTCCCTCAAGATCTGCAAGTTTCCCTGCATGTCAAAGATCAGTATTCGATCAGGTCCAGGTCTACTGTCGCTAATCAGGAACTGTTCCGAAGCACTCGGTTGCGGCTCGTATCTTTTATACGATTCCAACAAAACCTACATTTCTAAATTTAGTGGAGCTGGTGGAGCAGCGTTCATATCATCCCTTCTTCTTATGAGGATTATCTTAAGACCAGAAAAATTTTGAAGCAAACCCTGAACTCCTTCAGAGAGACCAACTGGGTACTCGTTAATGATTCTACGGTCTCTTCCATCCTTTTTGTGGCACACCTATGTCCACATCAGCCAGACCGTCATGAGAGTGCTCAACAAGTTTCATAATAACCGCCATACCTGCTGTGTGAATCTTTGCCCCACAATGATTTTTCTCACAGCACCAAAATTTCTTTGTTTCATCGCTACTCTTCCTGTCTAACACGTAACAAAAGCCCTCCAAGGAAAATTTTTCCTGATCGCCTTTCCACAACAGCATCGTCATCCTCGATGCAGTATATGAATCTCGCGTCCCGTACCCATGAAAAGTGTAACATGCACTTAATGTTAGCAGGACAGAAATCACTCACAGTGGTAACACTCTACTGGCTGTATGATGGCACGATATTGTACAAAATTACACAAATAAATCAAAATTTCTTGGAATTCGAATACCTTACCAAAGTTTCGAGTATGTTCATAGAGAACTATTCAGTAACAAGCAATATGATTACAGAAAGCAAAAAAGGAACTGAAACAGACGTCTGCAAAGGGCAGAAATTTATATTCTAAGCTAAATGACTGTCCACAGGGATACTGACCTGACAGTGCCACTATGTTGAAATCATAAAATAGCATGGAATTTTCTAACGTCATAATTTCAACAACCTACCGATGGATGAATGATGACTAAATCAAACATCTATTCATCAGCTAATTATATAGATTCAACCAGCAACTAATTGCCTGTTAGTTAATTTATGATTATTTCGCGTCATCAACATAGTGCAGGTCATTAAACAAAAGTTAAATGTTTTGAGAAAAGTAACGTATTATACTGAGAGAAAGCATTTCATTCATATGGAACATGACTATATTAGTCACGAAGTACGGAAGAATGTGCTTCTCATAAATTCAAACTAGCGACTGTTAATGTTAACGTTGCTCCATGCCGATTTAATGAACTAATCATTAATTGTCACTGCTAAATTGATGGACGAAATGGCACTGCTGATTCTGATACTTATGCCAATCACAAACAGCTTCAAAGCGATGTATAACATAAGGGGTTAAGTCATGTAAGTGATACAGATGATCACCTGAAATTATACTGACTCAGACTACCGATAATATAACAGCACGTTAACTTAGCGACCTCGCGTAATCACTACGATGGAATCATAAAATACATATCACTGATATTCATAGTTTGACAACGGCTCGCATTGTACTCGCAGAGAGCCTTTCATTTACAGGCAACCTTTTGGGTGAAGTCATATCATTGATATAGATAACCATCTGTCAATGACATGAAACGAACCCGCAACCGCAATGTATGCTAAAATACCTTGTATCGCACGTTCATCACAATGGAAGTATTGCAGAAAATTCACTTGTTCGATAACGGCATCGTACTTGACTTACAGTAAGCTATCCATTGATATATAACATGATGGGCTGAATCAAGCAAATGACGCAGTTGACCACCGTCCAGTTACATAGATTCAACGCAGTAAATGCAAGACCAAGCGGTGACACCAACCACCAGTATGCACCAAAACGTCATAGGACGTTTCAGATCGTACCGGAATCAGTGACAGTGCTCGCTGTTCTAAGGTTCATGAACAGCAGACCACTGGAACGAGGAGCATGAAAAGAAAGCTATATTCCATTTGAGAAAATAACTTCTTTGTCAAATTCGCAGCGAATTTTTTATTTGATGGTTCCGCCACCTCAGAAGATGATATCTGATATGGTGTCTCGTAAAAACAAATGAAAATGATTACAGACAAGCTACATGAACGTCATTTTATTATGACGCGGCCTCATTCTTAAACTTATTCAAACAAGCACAACTTTACCAAATAGGGTTTAACTAGTTATGGCACCATTTCTTTCCTGTAGATACGTAAAGAACATTTGTAACGACTACAACGTAAAGATGCGCATAATAGCACCGGATTAACTAAAGCAATACATTACTCGTTACTGACGAAACTTCAGTAGCCGTCACTATTCATATGAATTCAGAAAAATATGCGACATGCGTCATCACGTTGTCTACGAATGTCTTTTGCTTTATTTAGACTGCAGTTGCTGAACGATATATGGAAGACTGTACAGCAAACGTTTTAAAGCCCGATGGTGAGCTGTTCTGTTGATCGCTTTCAATGAAGAGATGGTGGAATTGATGCAGTCCCAATCAACGAATGGACGTGGCACTACTTTTAGACGTTGGTAAACAAAACAAACAAACAGCTGCATGTTCATAGTATGCTGGCAAAAGAGCTAATCAGCACTATCAGTAAAAGCGAAAATTACGCAGCTTCCTTAAAAAATCCGGTGAGACCCAGCACTAAAAAGTAAAATCAGAAACTTATGTTGGAGTAAGTATTAATACAGACTAATGTACAATGTGTTTGAAATTTAGGTGCAACCGTTTAAAAATTTTGAGTATTTCGTAATAGCAGTAGGCCTTATGCACTCTGGAACGTTTGTTGGATAAACTAATAAATTTTGACTGACCGAAACTTGATTTTCGACAGTTATGCCCGCATAGCTAATTAAAATACTTCTGACGCCGTAGGACTGCAGATTTCTGATATGATCGTGAAAGCATAAAAAGAGCACCACGAGCAGAAATGCCCTCAATGTCGATGAAAACATAGCCGCCAGTTATAAACAGATGCATATATCCACTTAAGTGGTGCGAAATTTTGTGGAACCATGGCCAATAAAAATCTATAAATGAATCGATATGATACAGCTGCAAAACCCGCGATGTTGGAATAGCATAATTAGCAGATAAACAGAGATTATACGATAAGGTCTAAACCTGAAAAATACGGAGCTGACGGACTTGTCGCTGAGCTAAATCAATAGAGAGTATATAAATTTGATCGTACGCCGTACTAATTGAGTCGATGTTCATGAGAACGGATCTTTGCGACCCTGTTCATGACTGGTTCCATGACACAGCCAAGTAAAATGTGATGACGACGAAAAGAGACAGAACAGAATGAAGGCCTGAAATGCGTATAACGTTCAAGAATGACCATAAAACAACGTTAACTGCAAGCATTAACAGATATGAAACTTAAAACAACTCTCGTGATGATTAACAGTACCAACTGAAGCCTTCTTAAGCGAGATTATTTAAGACTGAAAAAGACGGTTTGTTGATCTTACATCAGAGAGATGATCAGGAGTGTCGAAATCGTCGCTTTTGTCTTCACCCGGTTTGGATTTGTCGCCGACTTCGTACTTCTCTTCTGAATTTGCAGCAGTCTCTCCTACAGGTGATGGCGGCAATGGCTCAGGAGGCGTGGTTGATGTTGGCTCTTCTACTTTTGGAACCTATGCGATATAAATCACCAGGTGACAAATCATAAATGCAAATCATAAATTATCACCTGCGAAACAAACTTCCCTTCAATCTTGTCCCAGACGCTAGCGGAAAAGTCTTCCACGTCCACTTGCGTGTTTTCACCCATGATTTGCTAAACACAAGTTACAAAATAGAAAATAACAGATGATACTCTAAGGAAAGTACGATCGTCTCGAAAAGTAAGCGATGAGCAGCATGACTTAACAATCAACACAAAGCTTTGACTCAAGTGAAATTCCTTATTACGGGTGTTACGAGCCTTTTGGATAAGCAAACAGAAAGTCTCTAGTATGCGATGTTCCTTGTATTCGCAGTTTTAAAACACCTAACCAGAGACGTAACCATGCAATATAGATATGAAATTACGTTTATCCCAGGAATAGCTTCAATCATAGCCATTTTCGCAAAAAACAGAAAAACATGAGGCGCTCCTGCATATAAAAAATATTTTATAAAAGGAATAAGGCATGAATTCAATATTCAGTTAGCTAAATTTAAAAACAAGAGCTAGTGTGTCACTCATACAATTCGAATGTCCAACTTCTTATGTCTTCTTATGTCTTCGAATGTCCAACAATGCATCAATATATCTTTTTTGTTATGATCAAAGAGCAAAATGATTCATATAACTGGTTAATATCATAGAGGGGGCAAAAATGACTGAGCATGGATGATCTTGGAACAAAACATTTCGTCGAATGTACTCTGTGATCCTTAAACGTCCAATAATAACAAAACAGTCGAAAACATCAGATAGGATAAGAAGACATTAGGAAAAAAATACTCACAGCAAACCTGAATGAAAGGGTTTTAGGGAAAAGCATTGTTGCAGATTCGCTCATCATAAGACACACAACTTTCGCTCTGTTCACTTATAAAAATTCTAGCACAATGGTTTACTGAGCAATGGTTTACCCTGTTCGAATTTACAGTGAAGACATGCGATTTACACAGATAGCTAACTTCTGAGACAGATCATGCAGTTATTATAACAGAACAGCAACAAACTTTGACTTCTTCAGGTGATATTTCGCCATCTGCATTCAAATCGAATTCTTTCCTCGCTTGGATTTCTTCCACAGATACCCTGAAAAATTAAAATCACCACTTCCCTGACAGCTCTGACTTTATAATCACAAAGAAAACGGCAAAACATTGTCATATATTAGTACCCTCTCTGACCGATACCCTCTCAGACAGACCTCTGAGAATCTGGAAGTGAAGTAACTACCAAACACGAGGCGAATTTGTTCCTTCGAGAAAACTCACTGCTGCTACTTGATCTCGCAGCCGTAGTAGGCGTTAAGACGTCTTTACGAGAATTCATCAATGGGAAATTTTCAAAATATGGATTTTTACAGGTGATACAAAAAAGCACACTACCTAGCTAAGGATATGAAAGTTTCGATAAATTGCTATCACCAGTGGCAACCCTGAAGATGGCCGTAATTATGTTGGAGGCGGGGCGAGGGGACAAGGCGGATATTATTATACATTTCGTTTATTAACAATTTTTGACCAATTAATTCTTTAGCGATAGCTACAACTCGCCATTTCTTCTGCTTTAGAGCCGTGCATTATTTAGTCATTATTGCCTTCGAAACTGTTCATGGAGAATGTAGAAAACCCTCAAAATGTGGCCTCACTGCGAAGAATTCCTGACCTTACGCAGAATGGCACTGATTAAAATGAGCTGTGTCACCATTTCAAGCAGTGAAACGAGACAAATCTGGGCTACCCAGCTGCTCCAACTCGGTTAGTCTTGCATGTCGACAACAATACACAATGAAATAGCAATGAATGTACGAATAAGCGAAATCACTAATAAGCTAAGTAATCATAATCTGGGTTATAATCAGATCACGTGCCTACAACGCGAATTTGCCACTCACTTTCCGTCGTTGTTTGTGTCCAGCTCATGGAAAGCAGCTACCATCTTATTCAGTCTCTCTTCCTTCTCTTTCGCAGCTCGCTGCTCTGAAATTGAACATAAACATGGAACATCAAGTACAAAAATAAGAAAATATGAAAGATTTAATAAAAAACTTCAACATTGGGTCATTCTAGTTACATTAAGCATTTTATGAAAAGATTTTCCTTACAGGGATGAAAATCTATGACACTGTCCATTCACCATTACTTCGCCATTCAACGCTGCAGAGTTAATGAGAATTTACTCAAAGTACCTAGACGACTTGCATACAACTATATGCATGAAATAATTAATTAGTAATAGCCTTAATAAACAATTAATAAAAATATAATACAAAAATGATCCTAAAACTACCTGCCCAAGCACTTTCTTCCCTAGTTTTCGCTTCGTTTTCAAGCCGTTCTGCTTCCTCCTTGGCAGCTTGAAAATAAATCATAACGATAAAACATATGAAAACACTTCACATAGTTTACCTAGCAATTCTTGTAGCATAGGTGTAAGCTCATCTTTCTGTTTTTTCAACTCTTCAATCAATTTCTAAACAACGTTCGTCACACCATCATATAAAGGAAGGTTAAAAATTAGTATTTTAGCAGTGGTTACTACCTGAATTCAATAAACATTAACCTCATATAATGGGTTTACTATAATAGTGCTAGTTTTCGATACCGACGGTAAAAAGAGCAGTCTGCCGTCACTTCTCCGAACTACCAAGTGTAATCACACTGCCCGTGCTTCTTGCAGCAGAGGGGATTGTTCGAACAGGCCAATGTACAAGGAGATTGAACATCTGCAATGCAATTGGTGCTTGTTGCATACTAAAGACAACATGGGGATAAAGTAACAAGAAATCAAGTTCATCGCAGAAAGTGATTCAGTTTGAGGAGTTGAAGCAAAGGATGGTCAAAAAAAAATTCTGCGTTCCACGGGATATTTACTGAATAAAAGAGAGTTTACGGATACCTGTTTTTCGACCTTTCGCTTCTTGCCGTCAATGGCCATCTTCTGACGGATCTGATACCCATTTGTCTGTCGTTCTTCTTGTAGCCTCATTTCTTCGCGCATCTTTCGGCCCATCTCTTCGCACGTATTCGGGCAGTGCACCCAGCCAGAGTACTCGTCACTTCCGTCGCAGCAGTCTGAAAACAACTGACTGAAACTATGAGAACAACCACAACTACTTAAAAAGTATCATATTTTTGTTCTCAGGCTTTCATAGGTATGACATAAAGATTTTACGTGATTATTTTATAATTTGTGAGGTTCAATTTCTCAGTCAGCCATGTCCTGAAGTAACTGATGCTAGATGACAAGGAAGAAAAAATAAAATCTACAAATGTTTTCCGCAGGTAGTCTGAATAGACCAAAACTTTCCGCTATGAAGATTACATAAACACTCTTTGACACTCGTTTCATCGTTTCCGTTGCATTAGAATTTTATTGCTAGAATAAAACATTGTAATTATTATTCCAAGCAGATCAACGAGCGGTGCAGCAATCACCCATGTGTTACAATGGCATTCGCAATATAACGAAAGAAACTTACTGATTCAATAAATAAACGCCAACCAAATCGATCCGATTCAACGGTTACGGGTAGAACAAAAATTCCAATTCAAAAGATTCCCTTTTAAAGCCGCTTTGGACAACGATCACATTTACCCTTACTAGCATATATACAAGCACTGAGAACAACGACGCCCAAATCCCTTCTAGCAGAAATGAATGACTCACTTGTACCATAGAGTAACGAATCGAAAAGTGTTGCCTGTAAATAAATTATATATGTTTGGGAGGTGCGACGAGTCGGTGATTTACAAATTCAGTAAGGGCAAACAGAGCAAGGATTCAACTCAGGGTCTTTCGTCTGCGGGTCTGGCGCTCTGTCTATCGATCAATTACTTTTAGGGCAAAGTTAACCTTTACGCAACACCACAAATGGTTACAACGCCTATATTTGACATTACCGCATATCTGGTCGTTGACTCGGGAAGATGGAATGTTGAGCGGCAAATGACCGAGGTTTGCACAGTGAAATGAGCCGTTCGGACAGGCAGCCGTTCCCGGTTCGTCGCTGCCATCACGGCAATCGCAGTAGTCATCGTTCACCCATTCGAACGGGATCGTACGAGAACCGTCTAGACACATAAAATCCTTCGACGGGTTGTATAGCGGCTTCCCTGTAAACTAAGTTGTGGCAAAAGTATTTAAAACAGAGAGCAGGCGTACGCTCTAGAGAAACTCCTCGAGGACGATCGACTCGAATAGCATCCTCGTGTGACCAGCTGGCCGAAATACACCATGACAACAAAGCGAGGAGCAGCATGTTGAATTACGTGCTGCACAATGTGCGTCTTTAATAACTCTGCAACAAGTGTCATCACTGAACATAAAAGAGATCTTTTCGCAAAAATTAAGAATAAACTAACTTTAGCCACTTTACAGTAATGGAAAATAAGGATTATAGCCGTCCATTTGTTACTTAAAGTTGCATGATACGCGCCACCTTTGGTATTTTTATTTACCAGTATCTGCAGTTACATGGTCATCAGAGCATCTTGATTAAATTTATTTCTTTCATTCTCGAAAGGGTGAAAGTTGAATGACCCAGTGGCAGAAATTCTAACTCGACATCTCTTGATTGCGAGTTCAGCGCCTTAAAGGCTGGGTCACCTTAGTCAATTCACAGGTCAAAAGGACTGATAAGTAGTTCTTTAATTTAGTCTACGTATAGCAACAAAAAGCAGTTCCATTTAAGCAACATAAAACGATCAGTCTATCAGACGACAGAATGCAATCGGTGTTTCAGTTTATATCTTACGGATTTTTTTAAAATGTAAGATCGATGTTCGTTGGTGGGTACAGGTGTGGTGTCTCCAGCAGCTGATTGGCGTACAGCCACAAGGAGGGGGTGCGATCAGTTAGAAGCTACTTTAACCGTTTGTGCATAAATTAAGTAGTTTATTTTAAAACAAAAGATATAATTCGATTAAATAGTTTTGGGCCATCATTAAAACACCCTTTGCTAATATGACTAATATTTTGGCCAAGCAACAATTGTTTCTCCATCAAAGGCCTAAAAACGATGAATTAACACAGTTAAATACCGTATTTCAATAGAACTAATATGCTCCATCTTCAGAAATGTACCAATTTATCGAGCCATCCTGCATGTAATGATTTTGCCGTGGCATCAAGCTTAATATACAGGTTTGTTAGCTGATTTATTCTCATATTATTCGCATAATTCCGTTAAAGCTGCAGCTAGCTATCACAAGAGTAACATTTCAAATACTTCTACACCTCAGTGTTATAGTAGGACAAAATGTAAAAGGAAACATAGAGAAATGGCACAATCCGACATTTAAAAGGACTGCGCCAGTTATCTCGATAAAATCAAATTATGCCATATTTACTTGCTTGGAACGAATTTTGCTATTAGCATGAGCGTTTCTTCACATGAAATTCCTGTCGAACCTCAAAACACAGTGATATTATACTCCGAAAATATCATAGTCCTACAAACGTGACGTCCTGAGTAACAAAGATGAAGACTCTACAGCAATATCTTGGATTTACGAAATTATCCCTCAACTTACAACTACAGTTGTCTTCGTATTGATGTTTAAAGACTGAAGTACGTGAATAGATTAACTTCGAGATAAGACTTAAAATACTACATGGAAAACCAGGTAAAAAAGACAGCATTACTGGTCGGGACTAAACGGCCAATTCATTTTAGTCTATGCTAGCGTGGACCAGTTTTGGTATGGACGGACAATAAGTCTGAAAAGAAGCGCATGCACATGCGAAGACATGAACTATCCTGCAGAAAGAACTTGCTAGGTTAAAGTGATTTAGAAAGGACGAATTAAGACAGAGGGCCAGGTTCGTCGGAACCGGAACCTGTCCAACATAGCCAATGCAAAGTGGTAGATGGTATAGATAAAGTTTTTCGAATAAAACAGTTTATTCACACATCATCCGTGATATTTACCTCTACGTATAAAGGTGGATGAATCGGTTAATTGCATCACTTAGTTTATATGAGAGCAGCAAACTCCAGCCCAACCATGCTCCAACTAATGCAGGATTGTTGTCGTGTAAACATTTCACCTTCCAGACGTAATTGGTCCATACCAGTATGGCGCGAAACAAATTTCTTTTTTAATTTAGACCGTTAACGTGTGATGTTTACAGTACTTCAGTCAAATTTTATATTTTAAACCTATCAGAGCCATAATGTAAATTAAATTCTACGGCGGCAACAATGCTGAGACTTACATATACGGGTAAGCTTAGTAATAATCAGTGAAAATGCTGTAACAGCGGCTTGGACTAAACCGCAAATCAGTTTCAGTCTACAAAAGACGGATCATACGTGTGGAAAGAATGATAAGTTAGTCACCGTTGGAATGGCGGTCTTACTTCATTTTTATAATTGAGCCCTTCTTCCCATGAAGTTGATTTGGGGTAATGGTGTTTAATTCTATGCCATCAATTAAGAAAGCCGTATTTTAAACCCAGTGAATAACCACGTGGCAAGCTTTGTGAGGAATAATCTGTTTCCTTTAACGTTTTTTATCAACGTCATAAACCCAAACTTGAAACACTATCTGTACTGAGCTCGACACTCAACCAACTGAGCAACTCTGATCTGATGCAACGTGTAGTAAATTTCCCGCCCAAAGGTCAGTATTAGATATGTGTGGAATCGAACCGACACCTCGGTAATTCAAAACAAGATTCTTAAACAACAGTTCAGGTAGAGTATTTGTTGACACATAGACGAGAGCAATAAACAATGTCGTAACATTACTAGCAGTATAATAGCAAAACGCGTTGGCAGTTAATTTTTCTATCGGCTCTGATTCTTAATATCGCAAACACAGAGTGAAATCAGCTATATATATCGAACAGTTTAAGAATCGGAAACCTCATAAAACGGTATATTTTACAAGAATATCTTATGCACAAACATAATTTATTTGACTTGCATCTTCAAACGGCAAATTCAAGATTGTTACTGCTTTCAAACAAAGGAATAAATTATGCTGTTTGAAGACTAAACCTTCGATAGTTATTTCAAAAACATATCGTAGCGCATTTTGAGCTCATGGTCGTCAAAAAATTTAGCAGTATGTAGTTCTTAAAGCTTATGGAAATATTATACACACGCAAAATGAAGCACCGCATAATGAAATAACTACGAAGCCAAAAGAATCGGTCATTCGGCGGTTTAACGATTACGTATCTTACACACGTGTACCATTCTTGCCTGCCGATCTCTTTCACAGCTGAGCGTACGGTCATTTGTAAATGCATTAACAAGCCTATAGTTAAGCTTAAAGATTGCGTAATGAAGTAATTGCTGGTTTATAAATAAATTTTTTATATTTGACTAAGTTTGCTTATTCACTGTCTAGACGAAAGTGGAATCTTATTATCCTGTGTGACGATTTTTCAAGGTGTTTGCCCCGCCATGCGTCATCCAGACTCCATTTTATGATGTATGGTAGTTTTCGAAAGCGGTGTTTGTTTTCTCTCATTCGATTTTCTCTGCCATCTTCTGCGTTCTGTCTCAGAGATTCCAAAAGCTACTAGATATTAACGTTTGGCTTGACTTCATATACGGAAGATCCTTAGTTAAGGTGCATTGTTGAACAGTGTCACGAAAAATATTAATTTTCAACGTAACACAACAGGCAGATATGCATGATTTAAATAAATAAAATATTGTTGTTTGGCTTAGACAAACAGTGAATTATGTACGTAAGTTCTGGTGTTATTTGCTCATGTGCAAAGATGGAACAATTTGTTTTGCTTTGATGTACTACTTTCTTGCTAAAACTTACTGTTTTGATCTCATACTGAAAATTCAACAACGTGCGAAAATGGTGTATTTATTCGCAACATTTATGCATTTGTCATTCGGGTGGTTGACCAGTAGCAGCCTTTCGGCTCATCTCTCACAAGCTTTCTTATGAGTGATCCGGGTTGACTTTGACAGTTTGTTGTGTGGTCCTCAGCTGTTGTGACATCTGGAGGCAAAGTAGGTTATACCCCATTTTCCCGGTTAAGTGGTTTTTCGGTCCCACGCTTGATAAGGTTACAACCGAGGCTGCACAGCGAACTGCAGAAATCAACCCGGGTTAGTTTGAAGATGGCTTGTTAGAGAAGCCGAAACGACGGTACTGGTCAGTCACCCTATCGACAAACTTATTCGTTTGCGTTGTGTATAAATGAACCGTTTTTGTACGTTTTCCTTTTCTTTGCTGGTAATTGTGTCATATGTTTTTTTCTTGTTTACTCTAGTATCTATTCTTCTTTTGTTTGCTTTCTATTATTTTTCTTTGTGTTCTGATCGAAATTAATCTGATTATTTGCTGGTTTCGTTTCAATTTTCTTAGCTCTGGGTTGAACGGTAATTTTCACAGCGGTGTTAATAAAGCGGTAAATCTTCAGAATTTTAACTGCAATGCAGCGAAATAGCTTCATCATACTCTGAAACCCTCAGAACGATTAATAACAATAGTAGAAGAGGATATTTACTGCGTTCACAAACCGCCATGTTTCAATCTGGTGTTTAGCTGGATAGTGAGCTAGTCGTATCACGAATTATAGTAAAGACTATACCGCGATGAAAAGCGCCAGAGGGGATTTCATAGATAAAGAAAGAAACAGTTAGAAGCCTGGAAAAATAATGACTCTGCTTTGTTAACGTGGTTCGTTGTTTGCAATTGATTTATTGTGATCTCTTTGAACTTATCGTGATGGTATCATATATGGAAAACAAGTCATGCATATTTTGTAGAATGAACCTCAGATCCTACCGAGATCTTGTTGAATATTTCAAAAGCCACGATCGTACAAGCATCGTAGATGCTCATCAAGCGAAGGTACACTCTGTGGTATGGAATTCGGACGGCGGGCGACTGGCGTCCGGAAGTTTCGACAAAACCGTCTGCGTCTTCAATCTCGACAACGGATGCAAGCTAGTAATTATACTGAACCTTTCTGCTGTGATGTAAACCTTCTCAGAGTAGGTATGTAACCAATGGCATGTTTTAACGTTATGAAGAGAAGGTTAGGTTTATGCTGAAATGAAAATTAAGTGATTGTGCTCGTTTTTAGTTAACTGTCAGGTGAGTCAAAGCGAACTGCAGGCGTAAAGCTAACGCATTACGCAGCATGACTGTATGCTTCGCACACTTTGGTATGACACCAAAGCACCATGCTATCCTGAGTATTTGCAGGTCATCGATTTGTTGTTCTTTCTTTGGCTAGTTAAGTTGAACCATAATGGGGTGAAATCTTTGCTCAAGAGAATTAACAGTTAAGAAGAGACAGCTCCGAACTCGCGCTGCATTGAAATCCGCGTTCGCGGTGTGCAGAGTAACCTACTGACCAACCGCACCACTGCCCATCCATATCTGTTTAATGTAATGGAAGTGCCGCAATAGAGTGTATTGCTGGTTCCTTGTACCGGTTGTCCACGGTGACTGTTTCTGCATTCGTACTTTGTCAAGACTTTTGCCATATCTTTAGCTATTGTATGATAGAAGTGCCAATGCCATTGCAAATTCAGGTCAGTTTTTTGCCTTTTCCAGGTTTACACGTTTTCCATGTTGTACGTTGGCATCCTGTCAACTTATGTTTTACCTGCCTTCAACCACTTTTTCTAATGGTTTAACCGCCTTTTCTTATTCTCCATATCTGCTGAAAATACGTCTAGTGGGAAGAAGATAGAATCGTTGCTTACTTGTTCGTGTAATTTAATCCTCATGTGTCGAAGCTCATCCCGCTGTATGCAGCTTATTCGTCATTGTTGCTCCTTCATTAGAACAGTTATCACCATGCTGTGCCTGTAACTATCACTGACTCGACTGATGCAGTTCACAGAAGGATTTTTGTGGAAAAGAATGCTGTGATATTCTGAAGACTACTACCAGTTTTTACCTTCATATTTCATAAACATTGTGTTTTGTGTTATTTGATGCGCCTATTACATATTTTTGTAGGTGAGGGAGCAGACATTTCGTGGACATACCGACCAGGTAGATCAAGTGAGTTGGCACCAGTCACACTCGGATCTACTGGCTTCGGCCGGTGGCGACATGACGGTGCGGGTATGGGATGCCCGAAGCCATAAATGTGCAGCGACCGTTAACACCAAGGGTGAGAACATCAACATCGCCTGGTCGCCCGATGGTAATACGATCGGTGTTGGCAACAAGGACGATTTGATCTCTTTCATCGAAACACGCAATTACAAGATCATCGCCAGCGAACAGTTCAAAGTGGAGACTAACGAGTTTTCTTGGGACAAGAGCAACCATTTCTTTTTCCTCACCAATGGCATCGGTCAGATCATCGTCTTAAAGTAAATGTCTACTTTTTATTGTCGCGTTTGATGGTCCAGCGAGAGCTTTGTATTTTAGATGGCCTGAACTAGAAAATGTCGTCACCCTGCAGGCGCACCCGTCTAACATAATCTGCATTGAATTCGACCGCACTGGTCAGTACTTCGCTGTCGGAAGCACGGACGCGTTGGTCAGTCTCTGGGATACTCGGCATTTGACCTGTCTGCGCACGTTTGACAGGTAATCAATCTTTCGATTCGATTAAACTAACAGATAGTCTCTGATAAATAAATATTATTGAATAAAGTGCGATATGGTGTAGGTCGTGAATCGTAGGGATTTAACTTGCCCATGGGTACATATTTTGTGATTATCTTGTTGTAATGGCAACTTTGTGAACCCTGCAACCTAACTCCAAATCGTAATCAGACTTGTACTGATTATACACTGGGTCCCACAGGGTCAGCATTCAGGTAAATCAAGGCGAAGGGCAGCCATCGAGGGGGGGCTCGCGTCAGACAGCATTGTCATACATCTCATCCATTCTGCCATGGCCAGATCAAAATGCCATGCTGTCCCTGTTTTTCTCAGTTCCCCGACTTGCTACCACTTTCGTGATTAGTTGTGCCAAAGCAGCATTAGTTTAATTCCTTGCTCTGTTCAAGACAAAGATTGTCACTTGAGCAGATTCGAGTCTGATCATTCAAAGCTGACCTGTTAGGCGGTGTGCCGCCATGTCACCAACTCACACGCATGGCAAGATAATCTCTACAAATTCGCAACCATCAAGTTGAGTTTCGACAAATCGTGTTAAAAAGGAAACGCGGTTCGTTACAGACGACTGTTACCGATCATTTGTGAGGACTGAAAAACAGTTAATGAATCTAAAAACACCTCCACGTCTTACCTTCACCTCGGAGTAGTATAGGGGATGGACTGCTACAGCATTGTGATCCAAATCTGAATAAAAATGACACTTGTTTGGGAAAATTATCCTGCTAGCCACCGGTATTGCATGAGACCCTGAAAAGCGGCGTGAACTTGCATTTCCTGCGATCTGTCCTGTGAAGAGTTTAACAGTGCGACGTCACAAATGTATGGCGTGCCAAAGTGCAACTATCACAAATAAGTTGTATGGTCAAATACGTGCGGCAGATGCATTTTGACTACTCTGCAACTGACAAAGCGCTGTCCATCGATAGTGCAACGTAACCAGTGTCATTCCCTGTCCATGTTGTGAATGGCATGATGTTGGATTCCACGCGAATTCCCCAATGGAAAATAGTAACGCAAAACATGAAGATTGCATAGATGCCTAACAAATGGTACGGAGTCATTCATCAAGCGGTTCATTTTCTACGCAGAGCATACATGGGTTAGACTGTATTGTGTAGGAATGCAGGTCAAGCCTTATTAATGCTCACGCACCTGATCATAATCAGTATAAAGACGACGAGCACGATGATAGTGATGATTAAGAAGATGTGGAAATTGAAAATGACAATGATAATGAATTATTTCATTTGACTTAGATAATCTATTTCAAGTGAGGGTGGTGCAGATTTAGGGGATGTGCTATTGCCGTCAAGTCCGGAGCGATATTCACTGCAACATATATTAAGTGATAAATCGTATTTTTGATATAATAAATTTGCCGGTCTTCGTGTCCCACTGGCACTTGGTTTATGACTTTCATTGTGAAAATGTAAATCATGAGGCGTAATGGAAATTTGCTGGTTAGATCGAGAACATTAAAGAATACTAGCAATAGAGACATGTGAGTACCATAATCGATTTTGGTTTTAACAACGTGTATAATGCTGAGTTGATCCCTTATGCTTCTTATTTTTTTCTTATTCTTCTTGTCCTCGTTGTACGATTCAACCGTAGGACATAGTGGTTCTATGTGTAGCCGTCGTGGACAATCTCCGTCTTTAACGATATTATGTCAGTTTCCTTTCTCTGGGCTGACATACTTCAGACCGACCATATTTTCGTTTCGACCTCTGTAACCGATAGTTTATGGCAGATTGCTGCCGTAGTTGGTTCCAATCTTCCCTGAGGTAGTTAGAATGGTTCATTTTTAGTGGCATTTAATGAAAAGTGTAAACACGAAGGCAAACGGTTTTGGTTTAGTATTTTATCTGAGTATCTGAGTAAAAGACTGTCCGATCGAGACTCATCGCGCATGTTCTGACCTGTTCTGTGGGTGTAATGTTTTGAAATTTTTGATCATTTAGGAAAGGTTGAAACCTCATTTCAGTTTGGTGTAACATCATCATGCAGGAAGCAACATTTCAGTTGATTCTTTAAGAGCATGAGTTAATTTTCATTTTGAAATGCTAACTTTGTATTTACAGTATGTTGACAGCGAATGTGACGTCCTGCTATGAGGTTTTTATTTTTAGGTTGGATTGGCCGGTACGGGCGGTCAGCTTCAGCAACGACAGCACCATGCTCGCATCTGGTTCTGAAGATCTGTGCATCGACGTGGCCTACATAGAGACAGGTGTTTTGTTTCGCTTACATTTCAAATGTCAGTTCGTCATGGAATGCATTCTTTTCAATAGTAGATGATCAGCTTCCATTATGCACAGTCTACTCCTTTGTGTAGATATTTCTTGTGTAAAAACAGATTGCGGTGAAGGACTAACCGCTTTGAGGTGCTTTGTCATAAATTTTCAGCTGTTGACAAAGAACGAAAGCGAGTTAATGGCGTTTTAACTTTTTACGATAGCTACAGGGCAGCAGAGTTAAGCCATTTGGGTTTACGACCCATCCAGGTAATTAAGCAGCAGAGTAATAACACAGGAATCGAATAATGACCCATATGTGCGAAGATGAGCTGGCTGGGTCATGATCACATGTTATGCCAATTCATGTGGACACAATCCATAAAACGCCGTCCAACGTGTTTCCTAGGATCTTGTCTGTCATGATTAATTGTTCTAAACATTTAGTACATTATGGCTGTACCTCAGCTTCACAGTATAACGACGCTCGATAAAGTTTAATCGGTGCCAGTTAAAAACGTCCTCGTTATTGCGCCATTTCTTCTGTACATCACGAAGATCTTAGCTATGATGTCTTGAATATGATCAGAATGCCAGAGGAAAAACTTGCAGGACGGATTCTCTGAAAAACAGCATAAAATGCGGTTTTAAATACGCAGTGGAAATGTACTATGGTCATTCAGATAACTGACCACAACCGACGTTTTGGGTTTTCTTCGCAAAGCTATATGACATCCAAGGAACAGGTCGAGGATCGTATGGCTGGATTATTTACGGGACTCTTATGTAGTTTAGTACTCGACAAGTCTTTTACAGGATTACACTGCGTATAAAATTTACTGTATACAAGTTCTTCAACGTTTAGGATCATGCTCGATCCGTTTTCAGGGAGTGGCATATTACAGATACGATTTTAGAATAATTGTCTGTATATTTAGGTACAAATTTCACTATGGAGGTTTTAGCCTTGATAGTGGTAGTTGCTTAATAACTTCGTTCCAGGGTTAACTCATTTCCATCCTGACGTCTTTATTCATGCATCGGTTTGATTGTATTACCGGTGTTTTTTTCTTTCTGTGTAGAAAGTTTCACTCTGAGTATTTTCCTTTCTTATGGTTTTGCTCCTTATGCAACGTCGTTCTTGCATTGCAAGTTGCTGAGCCGCTGAGTTATTTTCCTCTTCCTTCTTCCCCATCTGTGGATCTTTCTTTTTTTCGCCGTCTACCATTCTAACGTAGGTCGATGTTTCGCCATCCAGTCAGACTGCTGGGGTGTCGATTCTTCTCCTTTGATGTTGCCGGCTTTTCTATGTAATTGAGGCCACACTCACATTGTACGGTGTAAATATAGCCTTGTGTGTATTTTGGCTCGGTGATTTCGACTGCATCAGCTGGCTCCGTAATGTTTTTCTTGGATTTGAAGGTTAGCCGTATGCTGAGTTTGGGGGATCCTCTTGCAGCTTCTCGTTTAGATTTGGTAGTGCTACTGCTAAAGTTTGGGCTTGCGCTACTGGTTTTTCCATTCGTACTGTTCTTTTCTGCTGATTGCATCTTCTATCACTCTTCTAGGTAGCCGCTGTTTCTGAGAGTTTTTCGGATAGAGGCTAGTTCTTTTTGGATAACACTGTTGTCTGAGCTCAACAATAAATATAGTCAAGAAATTATATATGTATAATTATGTTTCATCATTGCCCTAACACCACAAATGTTCTTCAGAGCTGCCGCTGCTTCTTCTGACTTCGTGCTCTGTCGCTGCATTATTTTCAGGAACAGGTCAGAAATCTGCAGTAACAGACCAAATGTTTTTTTTATTGACATCGGCATGGAAGGTGCAGTATCAGGTTTGCTTATACAAAGGCAGTAGCAGGTAGCATCGAATTCGCTTAATGCTTGCGGAAACGGAAACGCTGTAGCCTAACTTATCCCTTACGGGCACAGTGTATACAACTTGAGAAATTGGCGATTTACGTAGCATGTGAGCCTATAGCAGTGGCTCTTAGATTTCAGTTTTTTCATATGATGGCATTGTGCCGACGTTGTAAGACCTGATTCATTGTGTATTTGTAAAGAAAACGGTCTTTTCCAACCGTTGCTTTTGTTATATTCGACATTCATTATTTTTACATAATTTTTCAAAAGTTTTCATTAATTCTTGATCTTTAGGCGAAAAAGTTTGTGAAGTGAAATGCGAGAGTCCCACGTTCACCGTAGCTTGGCAACCGCAAAGTTACCTGCTCGCTTATGCTTGCGATGACAAAGTGAGCAACGCTTACGGTCACGCAGAACGCGAGGCGGGCACCATCAAACTGTTTGGACTTACTGCTGACCAGGCTTGATCTCTTTTTTCAAGTTTTTATTCTGTTGATCTGTTTTGACCCTGCGGGTGTTTTGTAAATTTTGAACTCCCTTACAACTTCTTTTGTTCCTCCTGTGTCATGCAGCTGAAGCAGTACTTTTACCGTCTGGAATAGATATCGGCTGCCACTCACGTTTAGACTTTGGCAAACTACAAAAAAACGCCATGAAATCACGTACTGAAGCAGTTGTATGTTTTTGACATACATCAACGTACAATCATCTTTTGTTATTGTTTTTGTTAAAATGAATATTAAACGAATGCCGAACAAAATATTCAGTCCACGAATGGGTGATGCAACCGAAAAATTTTTACTTTTTCAAGGTGCTCATTTATTTACACCATAAATATGGACATGCGTTGACACTGAATCGAAATAATGGGATAAAATAAGCCGCGATTTATTCATTCTCTATTCTGAATTTTCCAGAACATTAATCATTTTAGTGAGAGCTTCATTAAAGCATTTTGAAGCATTTTTTTGCATAATTGTAACGAGTTAAAAAAATCATAACAGTCACCGTTTGTTGCTTCCTAAAAGGCCGCCCATCAGAGATTTGAGAGCGTTCGTTTCCTGGCAGGTGTCATCTGATCCGGGAGCAAGGCCAACGCAACAGCCATTTATGAGAATGAAGAATTCACCGTTGTTTATTATGAACTTGCTGTTAATGCAGCGGTTGAAATTGCACTTCTTTACCTCCATAGATTCGCATGGACGCTGACATGTTCTCTGTCGCATCATTCGACCACAACCTCCACACTTCTGTGTGCACTCACTCCACGCTGACCACTGGCTACACATACAGTACGGGTCGTCAGTATCTGTGGTCGGCTCGGTTGCTGAATGGGTGTTCGCTTCTGTTGCCAACATGCTGATGGCTGTGTAGCTAACTGAAGGCTGCGCGTTTGTCTGTACTTCATTCTCTTCATCCGGTTGCTCGTTTGGATCATCGATAGGTTGTGACCAGTACCTGGCCCGAAATCCATCGGCCACTTCGATGTCAGACCTGAAGATAACGACCATTTCATTGTCGGCCGATGCCAAAGGCGCTGAAGCGGTGGGTGATCGCTTACAGCAAAACCGGGCTCCCACTCGGTTGAACGGTTCACCCACTTTCACTTCCACATAGCTCCACCTGCAGTTTGGTTGGCACGGCAGGTCGAAGGTCTCAACGAACTTCAGAAAGACTCGCTGATCTTCCCTTTCTGCCTTTATGTACCATACGCAGTACTGTTTACGTGGAAATTTGTTCGGGTACGACGGTGTCGTGAAATACTGCGGCGAGGCAGTGGCCTGAAGCTCACCTCCGCAGTCACGCGCCCCTGTTTGTTCCACGCCTTCGCACTGCGTTCCTCCAAACCCTGGCGGACAGATGCATTCGGAGCAGTTGCTAAAGTTTTGGTAGCCATTATGCAGGCACTGCAAAGTTGGCTGGCTGCTGCAAGCATCCGCACAGTACACGGCGTTTATTTTTTCGTAGTCAAGGAAAGACGGACTCTGACGCTGACCCATCACGTTCATGAACGTTTCATCGATGGGCGTCAGCGTGAAAGCCTCAGAGTCCAACGACATCGCCGGCGTCATCGGGTCAAAATGCATAATGCTCGCATATTCGTATGGCAGTTGTTCCGTGTCTAGCGTTCCATCATCAAATGATAGGAATGCGTGGTAGTTGTCCGGTGTGATGTTATCCAGGTGAACCGTGACAAATGCGGAGCTGTCACGCCGGTTCTGCTCATGCCATGCTCCAAGTGCGTGGCTCAAAAGGTGTGAAATCACCCCTACGTGAGTACATTCCGGAAACAGCAAGTTTATAGTCTGCACGCCTCCCACGTGGCCAATAAAACTTGAGCATCCTCTTTCGTTGACAAATAAAAGACCTTCGTCCATCTGGCTGTTTTCCACAAATTTCAGGCACGTTTTCTGTTCCCAAATGCGTAGCGTCTTTTGTATGATTCTGCGGCCTTTCAGCGCCAAAGACGAGTCGATCGCGTAATAGATAACCCTTGACTTCCATCCTTTGTTTCTGAACATGTCCGGAATTGTCCGCTTAGGCCGTTGGTCCTCTAAAGTCATCGCTGTCGCTATTCTCAGCCAGTCCTCATACTGCGATTCTGCAATATCCACATCTCCCATCAAGTAGTTGTCAGGGTTGTTGAAATTCATTTCACTTAAAATTTTCCTCGGCTTTTTTTCTATCATCTTTCTGTCTTCGTTTAGCACTGCCGGACTCATGAGCTTGTTGAAAGCGTCCTTCAATTTTTGTAATTTTTTACCGCTCACCTTCCTAGCTGCAAGCTTGTGTCGCATCTGCACCTCTGCCCGTCGATGCTGGCCTAAACTGAAGCAGGGTTATGTGAGAATTTGCTGCTATGCGTAAAATACGGTTCGCCCGTCAGTAATCAGCGAAAACGTTAAGAATATTTAATAACTCTTAATGATTTATGGTCTTAAAACTGAAGTCATGAACTCATTTCATTGGGTAAGTACAAGCGAACCTACTGATCTCCTTTAAACTTTGCATCAGAAACGTCTGGGCTCGTTTGGGGGGTAGGGCCAGATGTCATTGAGTGCGTCGGCGGGTGGTTGAGGAGTTGAAAAAATGCCCAGATTATGAGCAAACTGCGAAATAAATAGTCTCACGTCCAAGTGTTCGTCAACAATGTAACGGAAGAGTGAAAAGGCGCAGTAAAGACATTTTGCACTAAACACGTATGATGCCAAATTCAAAGGAATCTTGCCCCATCCGATCCCTTGTCGAGGCGCATTATCTCCTTTATGTGAAGTCGTCTAACTGGCAACGTTCCATCATTCTTCAGGGCCATTGATTGAACTAATAATCTTGGACTCTCGAGGCGACTGTCCAGTTATCTATTTCAGTTTATAATACCGTAACGCTCGTTAACATTTGAGTTTATGTACAGGGCCTTTAAAATAGCTGATCAAGTTCGACTATAGTTCGATTATAGTTCGACAGCAGCTGCTTTGTTTACAGTCTAAATGTGTTCGTTTTACAGACAAAATAAAGAGTAGATGATGAGGTGAAATTTTTTTTATTTTTGGGCTGATA